ACACATCACGAGTTGCTGCGGTGTGGCTGAGTGAGAGTGTGTGTGAGTGCAGTGTGGCTTCCCCACACCCCAAGCCCTGACCCCCATCTCCCACCTTTGCCCTGTGGCAGCAATGGCAGGTGCAGCTCTTAAACAAGCTGGAGCAGAGGGAGAAAGCAGGAGAGAGGAGAAATAACTTCCTTCAGCCCCTCTCCCGGCAGATTTGCATCCCTGAAGGCACAGAGCAGCCTAGCCAAGGAATTCTTTCCTCTAAGAGAAAACCCAGGCATGAATCCATGTGAGGCTCAGAATAAGAGAAAATAATCTGCTTCCCACACTCTCCCAGCCTGATGTCCTCCCTTCCAGTGTCTCCTGGCTCTCACAGCAGCAGGGGACAGAGTGACTCCCCTGCAGCCAGGGTGGGTATGACAATTTGGGTCAGGAGGGTAGTTGGGAGCAGGGCAGCAGCCTGGGAGTAGACAGGAAGGGACTGTGGGGGGAGCTGGAGGGAGAAGGCAGGAGGACAACGTGCCACTGCCTCTCACTTGGCCCTGGACCAGTTCCCTGTCCTGGGACTGGCTGAGGAACAGCAGCTTCCTCCGTTCTGCTCTGCCTGCGACTCAGAGCCACCACACCCCTGCCCCTTCCCCGGGCCTCTCCTGCTGGCTTTCTCCTGCTGCAGGCATCTGGTCTTCCAAGTGTGAAGGACAATTTGGGAGAGTCTGATTGTACATTCCTCATGCCTGAGGCCTCTCAGGCAGCTCCAGCCAGTACCGTCACTTTAAAATACAAACCAGACAAAATCTGCCGGAGTTTGCCAAAGGCTGAAACATCCCATTTGTTTCCGGAGGTGCTAATGCTGAAGGCCAGAGATGCTGATGGTTCCACTGCTCAGTGACTTTGCAGTATCTTCTGTGTCCTTCTGTGCTGCAAAGAGCAGGAGGAGCCCAGGAGGCTGGGCACAGGGAGCTGCAGGTGAAGCAACAGGATTTCACTCAGCCGCAGAAGAAGGTGCGTCATGGTGGTTGAGTTTTTGTGCAGACTAAGGAGTGAGGGCAGGTGGAGCGCCCTTCTCTCTAACAGATAGTTAAAATGCTCATGTCTTTACTTGAAAAGCTGTGTTTGACTCCATGAGCCAGCGCAGCCTCTCATGGGATTCCCAAGGATGGGTGCAGCCCAGGGTAAGTGAGCACTGGGATATGTGTGCAGATTCCAAGGCTTTGTGCTGGGAGCAGCAGGAAGAAATGGCAGGGGAGGGGGGTACTGGTGTCCACTGCAGCACTGAAACAAGCTGGGAATGTGGCTCAGCTCTTCTTGGAGCTGTGGGCTGAGCTGCAGGCCCAGGGCAAGCAAAACCCCAACTGGGCTCTGCACCTTCTCCACCAGCATGTGGGAACACACTGGAGAAGTGCCACCCACCTGCCTGGAGCACTCCCCTCGGGCTGTTTGCCTAGCCCAGGCTGTGGGATGTAATGGGTTTGGGAAAATTTTGGGGAGTCTGAGCTGTAATTGCCCAAAGAGTCTGCTGCCCTTTGGGATCAGGTTGGAGCCCGGGCTGTGCCACCCCAGCAGATGTGCCAGTGTTCCACTGTGCAGGATTTATTACACAACCAACCCTCTCATGTCACTGCCACCAGGAAATTCCCCAACATAGCAAGAGTGGAAAAACATGTAGTTATAATACTGTAGTGTAATTCAGCTGGTCAAATAAATAACAGCCCGTATGGGAACTGAGGGTGATTTTTATTCCATAATATTTCCATAAGCAGGATTGGTGTTACAGACTTCTATTTTTAAGTACTTTTCTCAGGCATCTTCCATGAATTTTTCATTCCTTCTGCCTGCTACAGTTCAGTTCCTCCTCCAGCAAAACCCTCCATCTTTTCTCCACAGCTCCTGGGGTCAGTCTAACCTGATGACTAAATCTTTCAAAGCCTGACTCTGATTATTATTAATAATTTCTCAAAAAGAAAGAAAGAAAAAAAAGCAGTGTTTTGGCTAGTGATGTTGATTTTGGGTGGGTCTTGTCCTGCATTGAAACTTCTCGTGCTCAAGGCTGTAAGGCAGAGATTGTAGTTTAAGGGCCTGGTCTCCTTCAAGCAATGAAGAATGTGATCTGTGGAGGAGGATCAAACCATTAATATTAACAGCCTGCTTCCGCCTGGATTAATGGGATGGTTGAACATGCTTCCTGCAGCTGCACTGCCTTGGGTTCCAAAAGCCAGGAAGGTGCACGTGTGGATGTGTCCTGCCCAGCGTGAGACCCCTGAACTTGGGAAACCAAGCAGGAGCTGGGATCCCAGGAGCATTCACCTGCCTTTACAGCCAGCTTCTGCCCCTCATCCCCATCCATGTCCCTCCCCACTGGGGCTCCACTCTATGTAATAGTGAAAGGGTCTGAAATGCATAAACACACAAAATAAACAACTTTCCTTGCCCACATGATTTTTATACACCAGGGAGATGGTGTGACTGAGTTTGCCCCGAGGGCTTATTCCTAAACAAACTGTGCTTCTTGATCTCTCCATTCAATTTAAATTTGTGCCAGTTGCTGGTGCAATTTGTCCAGGGCTTCCTGCCAGGCTTTGAATAATGCCAAGGAGGAGAAGTCTGGCTGGTTGGCAGGAAGAGTCCTGGCTTGTCTGCAGGTGCATATTCCTGCTGTTCAGTGAGGCGTGGCTGCCTCGGGAGGGGAGGAAGGTGCATGAAGGAAAAAGATCTCACTACCAAGGACCTTGTGGGCTGGATCCTCAGCTGGTAAAAACTATGGAGGGTGTGATGTGCTGGTGGAAGGTCTGGTTGCCTGGCCTCTCCCAGACCTCTGGGAGAGCTGGGGAAGGGGCTGCTGGGGAAAGTCTCATCCCTGCTGCAGGGCTGGTGTGGCCCTGCAGAACCCCCGAGGTCTTCTCTGCTGTGGGTTGATCCCTATCAGCTGCGGAGAGGAGAAGAGGGAGGGAGCAGCCTTTGGGATGTGGCTTTGCCGCCAACGACTTACTCTTGGCATTATGGTGTTTATAAAACCCTGCGACCTCCAGGGAGACGTGGGTGGGGTTGGATGTGGCTTGGCGGTGAACACCCCAGCTCTTACTGCAGTGCCTGAGTCCACACGGCTGCTGCATGTCCTGGTGCCCCCATTCCCACCCCCATTCCCACCCCCAGGGAAGCAGCCAGTTGGAGGCACACATTGCCGTGCTGAGCTCCACGCCGGGCGGTGCCAGGGCTTGTTCTGCAGCCGCCCCGGCGCCGAGGTGGTGGTGGTGGTGACCAGCTGCAAGTACCTCTCCCTTGAAACCAAGCGTTCGGGGTTTTCAAAGGCTCTCTGCAGTGTTGCGAAAACGTAACCATAGGCCCTGACAACGTTTCATAGACTATGGTTTGTGAACTGTAGGTCTGGTCACGTTCAAAAGGGCCAGTGGGCTTCAGGAATAGCACAATTTATTGAATGCAACATGTGGGTTCTTCAGATTGCTGGTGATTAACTGCCCAGTAGCTCTGCAGGGCTCTAACAATACCATTGCAACCACAGGCTGAATTTCCCATAATAGAGCTGAGAACACAAGACTTACCAGAAGGCAGCTGTTCTGGGGAGGGCAAGAAGGATAAACCTGTCGATCTGTCACTGCAATTTCATGTTGAATTCTCTTCCCCCAGTGCTGGGGTGCTGTTCACACCTTAATAACCACTATGGTGCAGAGTGCTGCAGGTGGGACTGTGGTCAAACTTCCCGTCCTTTGTGGGCACATTCTGCAGAATATTTCTTGGTAGGAGGTTTTGGTTTGTCAAAACATTTCTGGGTAACAGGTGGAAGAAGGAGGCCATGCAGGCTCCTCCTTGGTCCACCCCCCTTCCACCATGCCATGGCAACACAAAACCAGCATCTCCATCCAGCTCTGCACTTGCACCACACGGGCCCCACTGGACACTGAGCTTTGCATTTTCTTCACTGCTTTGTGCTTCCAGCATCCTATTGCTGGGGACAAACCTGTCCAGGGGCTGTAGCAACAGGCCAGGTCCTGGGCTGAGTGCGATGTTCCTATTGGGATACTCTGGACTCTCCTGGAAAGCACAGGACTTAGTTTTGCTCCATGGCAGTTAAGAAGTTAAAAAGCCCTGAAGAACAAAACCAGTCCTAGAGGCACTGATGCTTCGATAGATGATTTTGTAAATGACAAACCTTACTCAGTTCATTATTTCTTGAGGCTTTTTGTGTGTGGCTTGAAACAAATCTTTTTTATTCCAACATGCCAATTCATTATAAAACTCCTTGCATCCTCAAAGCATTCATTTTCCACTCAATATCTGAAAGTTTACATTTTCCTGAAATAAGTGTTTTTCTTATTTCTTTTTTCCTTTGTAAAGGAAATAAACACCAAATCCAGCCCTTCCACACTAATAAACTCAGAGATCTCCTCTCAGCCCCCACACTGCCAGCTCACTGAGGTTTGCTGCTGCCAGCACTGGGGCCAGGGCTGGGGAAGAAGGAGTTAAAGGCTGGAAGACCATCCAAGCTGCCTGCCAGAGGCTCAGATCCCACTCTTTCATCCACCAGTGTTTGGTGGCTGAGGAAAAGGCAGCTCCAAATTCACGTGGCGTTTTCTAAACCACGGACAAAATTACACCTGATTGCCTTGATTCACCCTCTCAGAGAAACCAGGACGAGCTGCCTTCGGGGCTGGGCAGGCTGTTCTTCGCTTCTGCTGCAGTTTTTGGGGCTTTGCAGTCCAGGACCTGCCCGGCTGGGGTCATTCCCGGGCTCCCCTCCCAGCCTGGGGTGCAGGGACAGCCCAGGCTCCCGGGTGGTGGGCGCTGATGAACCAAGAGCCAGCTCTGTCCGCTCTCCATCCCTCGGCAGGTGGATGTGTAGGGAAGGGCTGGGAGCCTCTACCGTAGGACTGGGCGGGACTGGGACGTACTGGGAGCGCTGCTGAGGAGGGGTGGGCTGTGGGATAGGGGACGGGCTGAGCGCAGGAGCACAGGCTGGATGTGGCTGAGGTAGGTGCCTGCCTTCTTCCTAACTCCTCCTTCGAGCGCAGATCAGCTCTTGTCTGTGGGTGAGCACTGCCTGGCCGGGCGAGGGATGCTCCGTGCAGCTCTGTCCCTCTAGGCACGCACGGGAGGTGGGACAGGGGACCGTGGTGGGGCCGTTTTAGGGAGGTAGGGGGTCAAGCTGTGGCCAGGCTGAGCCTGGCTGTGGCCCACAGGGTCGAGGGGGCTGTATCCCGGCTCGGGGCATCTCATCCCCACGGAGCTGGTGATGTCGGGGTGTGCGGGGCAGGGGGAGCCTGTTCCGTGGGCAGGCTGGGCTTTGCTCACCATCAGCCTGGCAGGGGCGGTACAGAGGCCGTGGGCTTTTGGCGGAGAAATGAGGGGATTTGTGTCGTGTTCAAACACAGCTGTTCCTGCCCCTCTCCCGCAGAGCCCAAGATCTCCACTGGTTCCGGGTGCTGAGGCGACCGAGCGGCACCTTCCTCCAAAATGATGGAAAACAAAGTGTTTCTGTCATTTACGTTCTACAGCACAATTTTGATTTTAAAAATGTATGTCGTTGCCATCATTACGGGACAAGTGAGGCTCAGAAAGAAGGTAAGATCCAGTTTCCTTTTCCTTCCTCTCCCTCTCTGTCTTTTTCCTTGGGCTTCTGTGGTTTTTCTTTCTTCTTTCATTCCTATAAAGGTCGACACAGTTTTCCTGAAGCAAACTGAGCTTCTTTGACTTAAGTTGAAAGAAAAACAAGTTTCATAGCTGCAGCAGATAAATATCTCACTTCTCTTTAGCCCTTTTTGTTTGTTTCCACCATCTGTAGCTTGATGTTTATAATTTCTGAAACATAATCTAAATAATAAACAGATCTAAAATGGCAAGCAGGTGAGATGCTTCTAGAAAGAGACTGTTTACAGTTAATTTGCCATGCCTGGAAGAAAAGGAGGGGAGGAAAAAAGGTTTGAGAAGAAATCATTGAAATGGTCTTTTTTTTCTTGGAATGGAACAGAAAGCTTTTGAGCTTTTGGAGGCTGACTGGCTATGGGAATACTCCAGGAGAGCAGAAAGTCATGGGGAATAAAAACAATAGCTGGAGGAAATCGTTCTTGGACACGGAGGGGGGAAAAATACGGGGAGGACCTGGAGTTCCAGCAGCTGTCTGGAGTTGGGGAGTTTATCACCCACAACCCAAATTAAATTCCTGGCAAAACTCAGCTGTTTATAAAGTCTGTTTAAAAGTATTTGAGGGGTTTCCAATTCCATCAGTGGAGTGGGAGGGAGAGATTTCTGCTCCCAGATAAAATACAAAGCAATAACCCTGTGCTGTGACATGATTGCAACTGATGTGGCTCCTCCCCTTGCGATTTTAAACGATGCTCCAGCCCTGGGACCATCTAGGCTTTGTAACATGATCAAAGAAAGCACCAGGGCCCTTTCCAGGCTGCAAAATGAAGCTGTCACATGGAACCAGGTCCCTGAGGAACAGCTTCTGAGCGTAGGTGTGGAGCTCATATAAGTCAATTTTAATTTGTAACTTTATTAGCGTAGCATCCCATTTCCCCGTGGGAAAATCACACGGTACCACTGCCAAAAAGCCAGCCAGGGAGTATTTCTTAATCTGTCAGTCCTGTTACCTTTCGGATGCCACACTGTGTCTGCAAGCTCTGTGCCAGCAGTGATCTCACTTGCCGGTTGGCACAGTCTCCCTTAAATGGGTTTCATGGGAAGAAGTGGACTGGGATGAGGTTTGGTACCTGATCAGCAGGCAGCACTGGGTTTTTTGGAGGATAAGGAAACCCCCAGGGCAGGTGCAGGGTTTAACCCCCAGGGCAGGGGTTAAACATGGAAGCGCAGCTCCCCTCGCGGGGGGAGCAGGAAGAAAAACCCCGCAGGTTTGGGGGCCAGACTTCTACCTCTGGGGCTCCTGAAAAAACATTGTGGGGATGTGGGGACTGTCTTGCAGGCGTTTGCAAACCCGGAGGACGCGCTGCGCAACGGGGGGCTGCAGTTCTGCCGCCAGGACCCCGACGTGGAGCGGTGCCGCAGGTGAGAACCCGGCAGTGCTGCCATTCCCTCTGCTCCACAGGGGGATGGATCCCTGGCAGCTGCCGGCAAAGGAGCAGTGGGAAGCTAAAGGGCTCATTAATTAAGTAATTGCCTGGGCGGTTTGAATGGCTCGAGCTGGGCTGTGGGACCCTGTGCACTAGAGCAGTTTAATCTTTAATGGGAGCGGGGTTTGTGCTGGAGCAAGGACTCGTGGAAGGATTCGGGTTTGGACCCAACAGCTGGCTCTGGACAAACTCTTTCCTAGGTGCTCAAGCTCCTGAAGTCTCATCCTATACCCACACCCAAAGTCTCATTCTGTCCTGCTCCCTGAATCCCCCCAGATCCCTGCACAGATTGGACAGGGAACTGTGAGACTGGTTCCAGTGTTGTACCAGGCTTCCCTTTTGAGGGATTTGGGAAGAGGCTGAACGGGGTTGCTATAACTTCTGCCTCCCTAACTGGGCAAGCTCTGAATCTTCCCCCTCTTCTGCGGGGCTCACAGTTCCTCAGAGGTAAAACATGGGGTTATTCAGTCCTGGGCTTGATTTGCTGTCCCCCTTACCAAAGGAGGTGCCCTGAGTGCTGGGTGGTGTGCAGGAAAGGGGCTGGAGCTGTGCCCTCCTGTCACTGAGCCCTCAGCTGCCAGCTCTCTGCTGTGGGTGGGGCCCTCATCACTCACCGCCCACCACCTCCAGCATTTGCTTTAGAAAACATCCAGTGCCACCTAATCACTGGTCTGCCAGAGGGAGTAGGAGGGCAAATGAGCTGTTTCCTTCCTGGCAAAAAGAAAACAATACCAGAAATAATAATCGTAATCCTCTTTTGATTATTCACAATAAACAAACTTCCATAAAAAATAAATAACTGGAGCTGCAGCAAAGACCTGGGGAAGTCTGGGATCTGATTTGGGCAGCAAAAGCACTCAGAGTCAGTCCTTGCTGATCTGTTCACAGCCCTGGGGAAGACAGATTAAACCCAAGGTGTTTCCCTGGAAAAAAAAGATGTCAGGTTGTCATCCCAGATGGTATCAGGAGGGGACAGATCTACAGCAGCTCCCCTTCTCCCTCCCAGGTTTGGCAGGGAATACATCTCCTCTGTGTCCAGGCTCTGATCAGCTCATCCCCACCAAGTCCTCCTGGCATCACTGCTACAACAGCACGACTCATTTTAGTGTCTTTTCTAGGCCAGTTCCTCCATGTTGTCCCAAAATTGCACCCACAGAGCAACTGTGTTCTGCCATGTTCATCCCCCCCAATCCTGGGATGTGGCCCTTAAGATAGGGACTACTTCCTATGCAGGTGGAAAGACCAGATAGGAGAACTTCTCATCTTGTGCAGAACAGCAGCACTGGCCTTTGCCTTGGTGAAGAAATAATCTGAAAATTTCTCTTGTCTTTGTGAACATTCAGACATGCACGAGAATGGTGAAGCAGTGGCAACTCTTATCAAGGATTCATCTCAGCCTCTCAAACCTTCACAGATAATAAGGAAAACCTAACCTCATGCCTGGGTCACTCTCCAGACCAGATCCATCCCCACTGACCAGAGCATGACCTGACAGTCCCCCCATGGAAACATGAGGATGGGGCTCTGTGCTGTGGAAAGAAGGAGAGGCAGAGGTGGTGGACAGCCTGCTGCTTTGGGGACTGACTTCCCTCCTTCAAAGGATGGTGCCTGGGGGAGGAGGGACTCATACTACACTCATGGCATGATTGGATCCACTGTGGTGGCAGCTGATGCTGTGACACCCAGGAGCATGTTCAGCTGGAGCAAAGGGTTTGGCCCCATCCATGCCATGTGTCACCACGTGGTCCCTCCACCCTCCAGGTGTTGCTGGCACAATGTGGGGATGCCTGGGATGCTCCTCCCTGATCCCCTCTGGATGCATTTATAGAGAGTGGCAAAGCCACAAACACTCCCATCCTGTGAGTTTCTCCTCTGGAGAAGCTGTGGTCTGGAAACTGCCTTTCACTGTGCAACGTGGCCACATCTGGGGCCGTGCCGTGCTGGCACCACACCAGCCTCGAGCTCCTGGCAGCTTTGCAGGGTCCTTGTTCTGCGTTGCTTGTTTGAAAGCTCCAACCCTGGAGCTGTCATCTGTCAGGGCAAAGGCATCCCAGATCAGGGAGAACAAGCTTCAGGAGCTCAGCATCCCAAGGGAGAGACATGGGGTGTGAAATCCTGCTGCCTGTGTGTGTAAGGGGGAACTAAGTCTTTTGGGGGCTGTGTCTGCCCATCCATCTGAGGAGGCAGCCAGCAGCACCCAGGGGATGGCCAGAAGGGACGGGAGACAACAGGGAATCCTGGTGGGCTGGAACATCCTTATCTCCCTTCTCAGGGCCCACCGCAATGACATGGAGAACATCTTTCCCTTCCTCTTCCTCGGAGCCGTCTACTCCCTGCTGGACCCCAGTCCCACGGTGGCCAGGATCCACTTCCTCATCTTCTGCGTGGGGCGCATCGTGCACACCATCGCCTACCTGCTGCGGCTGAAGGCGCCCACGCGCTCCGTGGCCTACGGCGTGGCACAGCTGCCCTGCTTCTCCATGGCCCTGCAGATCCTCCTCGCCGCCGCCCCGCACTGGTAACGCCCGCAGAGACCGACCATCCATCCCAACCCCCTCGTCCCGCGCTCCGAGGGCTCCCTGGCAGGACTGGGTGCTGTGTGTGCGAGTGTGAACGTGTGTGTGTGTGAATGTGAACGTGTGTGTGTGTTATTGTGAACGTGTGTGTGTGTTATTGTGAACGTGTGTGTGTGTGTGGGCACGCGGCGTGATGCCAGGGAGGTCACCTGCAGCCTTGACAAGCTCCCTGTGCTGTTGAAATTCGGCAGGGAAGTCACTGGAGAGAAGGGACACATCTCCCTGTGGAGCAGGAAGGGGATGCGGAGCCAAGTTTCTCTCGCTCCTGCTGAGGGCAGGACGGGGAAAGCACATGAATTACCCCTTAAAGAGTGGGTTCATTGAGGGAAAGGAGGTTTTCTGACTCAACTGTGTTGAACTGGGAAGGTGATGATGTGCCTTTTCCCCTGGTCACAAATATCCCATGAATCAGGAAGGGGAAATCATGAGGGTCCCACAAAGTCTCTTGGTCAGCAGAGGTAGAAGAGGGGGTTATAAGACAGCTGCCCTCCTCTTGCCCAGCTGTGTGGGTCTGTGGGGACAGAGTTCCCTTAGGTTCTCTCTCCCACAAGGAGAACAGGAGGCAGGTGCCTGCCAGGCAGAGTAATGTGGAAGTCAAAACCTCAGGGGTGATTTTGTGAAGACATCGGAGTGTTCAGTGCTCCCAGAACCACCTCATGGCACGCTATGGGACACAGCTCCCTGCCAGGAGCCTCACTGCAGGCAGGATGCTGCCTGTCCCTCAGCCAGCCTTCAGCAGCTCCCAGCCAGCAACACCCGTGGCTTTTCCATCTCAGTCTCATCCCAGTAAGATGCAGAGCGTCGTGCCTGGGGCAGCCAGCAGGAACCACTTACCCTGCGGAGAACCGGACACAAATCTCTGGGACTTCTGGAAAGACTAAAATGCTCTCAAAAAACAAGGAGTTTGCAGACAGAGCTTTCTCCCGAGGGTGAGAGGGTGGTATCTGTGTCCTCATGCCACTAATGCCTGACTGTGCTCCCAAGGGCAGCAGACTGACTTTCTCCCCCTCTGTTTGTAGCCCTTCTCTGGCTGCAGAATGGCCGCTGCTATTTGGGGAATGTGCCGTGACTGCTTCGGGGGTGTTTTCTTTCAGCTGTTTCCTGCTGTCCAGTGCTGCCACACCGTGTGCAGCCTGGACCAGCTGGCGTTTGCAGAAAGCTCTGGAAGCGAGCAAAGTGGCTTTGAAGGGAGTAATCACTGCTCTGCAGCGTCACCTGAAAGTGTCGTGTTGGAGAGGAGAGACTGAGACCGGGGTGACAAACCCTCGTGAGCTCCTCTGCCACTCAACTGCCCCCAGCTGTGGGGCTGCAACAGTGGAGCACCCCTGTGGAGGACAAGGCAGGAGGAAACCTCCAGTCTCCAGTGCCTCTCCTCCCTCTGAGGGCAACACAGAGCTTTGCTAACACCACAGGAGAAACCAGAATAAGCAGAAAATAAATTCCCCTCCCACCTGCCCTACTCATTAGGGCTGCTCCCTTAACTCTGCTGTCCTCAGAGATGCTCTTGCTGAGACCCCACGGAGCGTTGGTGACACACACCTGCTCAGACTGATGCTCAGCCCCTGCACAGCTCAGGTAGAAACTTCTGGTAATTCCTGCCCCCAGCACAGAGGCCAAGCTGTGTGGTGAGGTTTGCAGTGGAATGCTCTGCTCTCCCACCACATGAGGAAGGTGGGCAGGTTCAGCAGTTTGCTCTTGGTCTCCCTCACAGCCTCAGCAGATGTCTGGGTAACACAGAGCCCGCTTGACAAGCCTTTTCTGCCTCACATGGTGCACAAGGTCTCGAACCCCTGCACATTTCTCTGCTGCTGCACATGCATCCTGGTGGCAGGAAGCAAATATTCCCAATAAAAACAAATCATTGTGCTCTGATACATCCTTCCTTCGGGAGCAGCAGATGCAGCTGGGCAGCAGCTGGGTCCGACCCCAGTAGGATGGATCCCCAGCTGTAAAACCCTTTGCTAAACCCCACTGCAAAGCTTGGAGTGCCCTGGGACTCCTAAAGAGACACCCCTTTCCTCTGGGCTCACCTGCCCTGCAGAGGACTCTCTTTTCCAGGTGTGCTGGATCCCTTAAATTCGGCAGAGCTGGGGCTTACAAAGCAGCCCTGCTCAGTTTTTCCTTCCCTGAGCAGCAGGTTGTTGCAAAGCTTGGTTGTTCACCCAAAAATCCTGGAGGGCTGGAGAAGTTCAGGTAAGATGTGGTTGCTCTCATTTCTGTGCTTAGGACTTGCAAAGGAACTGCCTGTATTTTCCAAGTTCAGCAGCCCCTTTATTTTGGCAGTAGTTGCTGGGAAGCAAATGCCTCATTTCTCTGGTTTCCCCTTATTTTCTTAAATTGTTGGTGTTTGGGAGGTGCTGCCCTGTGTCTGTTGTAGCTGGATGAAATGGCTCCACTGCATTGTTTTTTCTTTCCCTTGTGCTTTTAGATTTCAAATAAGAAGGGCAGCAGCTTTGTAAAATGGACTCTCTCCAGTACACGTTGCTGTGGTTGGAGATGTGGCTGGGACTGAGATTTTGTCATGGGAAGGAAGAAATGAGGCTGCAGAACCCTCTACCCAGCTCCTTCAGCCTTTTCTAGGCTGCTTGTTCAGTGCCTGAGGCTGATGCCCTGCTCAGGGAAGTTGAGGTTACATGCACAGCTCCACTTTCTTCTTTTTTATTAAAAAAAAAATAAACCCTGCTGTACTGGCTGCAGGGAAAAGCTTGGGAATGTGAACTCTCCTAGCTCCAAAAAAACAAACAGAAAAAGCCCACAAGGCAAACTTCAGAGAGGCCCAAGCATTGTGCTTATTTTGAAGCACAGTGGAGGTTTGTGGGAGGCAGGATGGAGCCAGGCTCGCCTGCCTGGACAGCACCAGCCCCATCCCCAGCAGGGCTCTCCCAGGACAGGGTGATCAGAGCTGCTGTTCCTCCCCTGGACACTGCCAGTGGTGTTCCCTGCAAGTGATGACCTAAAGCATCCCCTGCCTTTTTCCAAATATCTAAAGCTCAGAGCTACCAGATTCCTGCTCCCAGCATCTGCGTGGGTTGAAGGGTGTGCCCAGGGTCTGCCACAGCTCCAGGAGAGCAGGGACAGGGGTTGCATCTGTGGGTTTTGGTGTGTGCATTGTATGTGCCAACTTGTTTTTCACACCTGGCTCAAACAGGAAATGGCAACACTGTGAAACCCACCTGGGACTGCAGAACAACAGAGTTTGGTGCTTAAGTGGGTACAAATTGAAAGAGGGAAATTTAGGTTGGATACTAGGAAGAAATTTTTCTACCATGAGGGTGGAACAGGCTGCCCAGAGAGGTTGTAGATGCCCCAGCCATGGCAGTGTTCAAAGCCAGGTTGGATAAGGCCTTGAGCAACCTGGTCTAGTGGGAAGTGACTCTACCCATGGCAGGGGGAGTTGGGACTAGATGATCTTTAAGATGACCTTTCCAAGCCCTTTAAATTCTATGATTCTGTGGTTATATATGTGAGTATGATCCACATGGCCATGTCCCTCTGCCCTGTTGATCCCAGGGTGTCTGGAGGTGGGGGAAAAGCAAGCAGAGACCCAGCACAAGCCACTTTCCCTCACACAGTCCCAGCTTGTTCAGCCCCAGGGTTCCCCTACCCCTGAGCACTGGACTCGCCCCTTCCTTACCTGCCCACACCACTTCCCGGGTCTCTCCTCTTCATCCAAACCTTCCCCTGGTGGGATCTGGACCAGAATTCCTCCTTGGGCAGCTCTCCTGTGACACAGGTCACTCTGCCTTCTCTGCCCTCCCAAAATCTCCCCTCTAGCAGATGTGGGGCCCTTCCATCTCGTGCTGAAGGGTTTGCCACACAAATCCCCTCATTCCCCTTGAGGAACTGGGATTCCTGCCACTTGTAGAGAGAGTGAGAGGAGCCAGCTCCACAGGCATTGACATCCCAGGGGTGAGTCCCCTGGAAAAGATAACGCTGCTTCCCTGTTCCTCTCTCGAGGATGAAGTTGGCACAAGGAAAACTCTCCACCGGCTTTTTTCCAGCCCGGCTCTGGGGCTGAGCTGTGAGTCGTCCTGTGCTTGCGGGCGCGGGTGCGAGCCCCGGGCGGGGAAGGGGAGCGGGACGGGGGGTCCCTGGTCCCATGGGGGTGTTGGAGCAGAGCAGAGCAGTGTGATGGGGGTTCACCGGCGGGTGCTGCGCTGCGCTCCCTGCGCGGGGCTGCAGCACCATCGTGTGGCTGCGGGCACCCTGCGGGGGACCCTCCGCACCCACCGAGCCCCCAGCCCGGGGCATGGCTGACCAGGAGCTGAGGGCAGGCCTGGAGGTGTGAGGGTGCGGCTGGAGGTGTTTGGGGTGGGTGCCATTCCTTGGCGAACGGGCTGAGGAGGAGGCTCGTATCTATCTGCTCCAGTGCCCATCAGCCTCTCCAAAGCGGGCAGATGGAATGCCTGGTCCAGGGAGCTCAGACTTGCCCTTTGAGAGTCACTTGGCTGAAAAACGACTGCTTTGAGGAAGGAAACAGTTTGCAAATGTCCTTTCCACCTTCCCCTGGTTCTGAAGTTGTGGTGTATGGATGCAACGCTGTGCTTCTCCATGCAATCATCCTTCCTTGCATGTGATGACTTCCTTGGCTTTGTAACACCTGCTACAAAGGGAACCTTTACTTCCTCCTCCCTTCTTCCCAAATTATTTTAAAACCTTACAGCCCTCCCCGGATAGCTACCATCCAGCTTCCCAAAGCTTCTCTGCTGCCTTAGATTGCTTCCCTGTGGGGGCTGGAAAGAAGCAGCAGCAAACAAAATATCTGCTGCAGGGCAGGGAGATGCTCCTTCCAAATGGAGTGCAGAGTTTGGGGTGAGCATCACACCCCCACTAGGGACAGGAGCATCGCCCCAAAGGGCAGGAGGGGCTCGGCTCCTGGGCGGCGACACGTTATTGTCAGGGGTACCTGTGTTTCTGCGGGTCGTGGGTGGTGTCAGCGGGACTCGGAGGGTCTCCGGACCTTCCCGTTGCCACCAGAGGGAGAAGGGCTCAGCGCGAGGATAACGGGAGAGGAGGATGCTGTAACCGCGAGATGTCTGTGTTTCATTCTGGATGGGGGTAACCAGGCTGGCGTCCCCGCGAGCTGGAAAATGTGAGCTCTGTTTTGTCTCGCTGCCGCGGCAGCCGATGCTGATGACAATACAAAATTGCTCTCATTAAAATATTGTAGGGGCAAACTTCAACTTTTCATCAGTCAGAGTGTCACGCACAAGTGTTGGGCTGTGGTGTCAGAAACAAGGAAAGGGGGTCCAGAGAGATCCTCCCATCAGCTGAGACTTGCCCTCGTTGAAAACCAGCTGCTTCGAGGAAGGAAACAGTTTGCAAATGGCCCTGCAACCTTCTCCTGCTCCTGAAGTTGTGGTGTATGGATGGAGACCAGCTCTCCTGCAGAAATTAGTTCTGGTGATGGATGTGCCCTTCCTAGGAGGAAAAATGTCTCTGTGCTGGAAGAGAAGGAGAGGTAGCACAGTGCCTCTGAGCTCCTCTTCACTGGCAGCCTTCCCCTGGCACAACCCTCCCCTCTGGAGTGCAGGCCCTGCCAGGTGAGCTGCAGCTCTCCATGCCTGTGTGTCTCCTGGTTTGCAGACCCCTCAGGAGATGTCCATCAGCTCCTGGGAGCAGGCTGACCATGGGTTGAGCCCTTCTGCTCTAGTGGGAGATGAGCTGAAGCTGGGACAGTTCAGGCAGGAAATAAGTGACATATTTCCAGCAGTCAACAGTAATGAGTCACTGGAAGAATCTGCCCTGGGATCTGCAAGCTCTTCACTTCCAAGGGTCTTTTGACTCAGGGCTGGATGGCCTCCAAAGGGATGCTCTGCACTGGCCACATGCTGAGGACACGAGGATGCTGCTTGGGTGATATTCTCTAGGCAGGAGGTTGGACAAATGACACTGATGGTCTGCAAGCCACTTACTGAATGAATAAATAAGTGGTTACAAAGCAGCAGTGGAGCAGTTTGACAGGGATGGTCAAGTGTGTGGGACTGTGGTGGGTCTGGGGTGATGTCCAGCATGGGAACTTGCTCCTGCTGGGTGATGCAAGGACAAGCCTTGCACTGCTCTGGGAAGAATCTTGCAGTCCATGTGGTCCATGTGCCCCAAAGACCACTGGGGATGCTCCTGGAGCTCTCTTTAACTTTGGCTACCCCAAGTATTTAGTATCACCTTTGCCCAACCACTGACTCCCCCTGTTTTGGGTGCTCTGTGCTTGCTCTGCACCTGTGAGCCTTTGCTCTCTGGGAAGCACTCCATTATCCCAGAGCTGATAGTTTATTCTTACCCTCTTTTAATTTTAACTAGTCATCTGTGCAGAATATGACCCTTCTTGCTGCCTGTCAGCTCAAATTTTGCAGACCTGGAAGAGAAAACCCACAGGGAGCCACATGTTGCTCTGGTGCCTGTGGGTGACTCTCTCTAGGAGCCATTCTGCTCACAGCCTCCTGTTCTAATCCAGGCTCCTTGCAAATCCACTCAGTGGTGAGGCTCTGCTGAGCCCTCAGTGTGGTTGGGCTGCCCTTCAGGTCCCACATCTCACCCCCTCAGCCTGGCTCTCTCCCACGTGCCCCATCGGTGCCCAGCCTCCAGCTCACCAGGTTAATGCCCCCTTGGTGCACAGGATGGAGCCTGAAGAGCCGGGTTTGGTGCTGATTTGGGTTTGTGCTGCCCAGCCTTTACCCAGTCTGTGTGCTTGACAGAGCAGCATCTGTCTGAGTGCCTGGATGTTCCTGCAGTGAGAGTATAAAAGAAAATCTCCTTATTTCTCCACTGCCTTCAAATCCCTGAGCTGGTCCAGACCTCTGTGTTGCCTGTTTCCGGCTCCCAGGGCTGTGGGATAACTCTCTGCTGGTCTCTGCTGGGACCACGGATGAGCCCT